GCCTATTAATGGAATGGTCTTTCTCAGTTCTCAAACAAATTAAGAACTACATTAGATTTTTATTGACTGAACGCAAGCGCTTATTGCGATAGAAAACACTGTAACCTTTCCCACTGATTAAGAAATATTTTTGTTTGCTTGGGTGGTAATATTAGGCCTAACATATTAATAGGGAAGGGGGCCCAAAAATTTGTTTTGCCTATGTCACGAAAAGAGATAAATCCGGCCCTGGTTGTATGCGTATGTGATACTCTCCAAAATGGCGCTATAGGGTGAGGCGGAGGAGACAAATTGTTGAATAAAGTTGTTATTTTTGTTTTCTTTGCGCACACAAAGTATTCTCGTAGCCTCGTAAAGTTACGGTTGAACCACTGATGTCTCATGGATTATTTCAACGATCTCCTTGCTACGTTTCTGAGCCTTGATCGTGTTAGGATCCTTGCTGTCTATGGGAGGGTCAGAGAGCTCTCGGAATGCATCAAAAATATCTTAATTTGTGTTCCGAAGATGAACAAAGGTCTTACAGGTTTGGAACGACATGAGGGTGAGTAATTAATGACAGAATTTTGGGTGAACTATCCCTTTAAATGCAGAGCACAAATTCCAAGTATGGGTTACCATACTTGGCCACACGTCACTTCGCTTCACTTTTCACTCACTTTTAAATGTTAATTATATAAGGATTTTGTGTCATTTTTAAAAGACCTACTTCAAATTTTAAGGAATATTAAATGTAATGATAAGCATACAATGCTCAAAGTATGAGCAAATAGGAACATAAGAGTTAGTGGATAAACTTTTTTAAAGATCAAGAACAACTTGCCACAATATCCTGTAACAGTTGGCGTTCTGTAGTAACAACCAGCCGTACACAACAAAGCAAGGGAAACCCTAATAATGCAACACTATCTGTTAAAAGGGAGTCAGACAACTGGATAAAGTATAAGTGTATTTATAAATCATATATACAATATTTCACAATTCAAAGTTCCAAGTAAGAGTGTGAGAGTTTGTGTGTGTGTACGAGTCCCAAAGTTCATTATATACACAAAGTTCAGATCAGGCTCACCGGAGCTGGAGAGACTATGAGCGGTCCATACATCAGCGGTATCCGTCCTCACCGGAAAGCATTCCACAAGGAAAAAACCTCCAAAAAAATTATACTCCACAGTAGGCATGGGCCGATTACCGGTTTCAAGGTATACCGCGATTTTAAAATGTCATGGTTTCAAAACCACTAATATTTTCCGTTATACCGTTCCTGCAGTATGCGCTGTTTTTCATGTCTCCTCAAAGACTGAAAGTGTAGGAATCCCTCAGGTTGAGTGCAGTGTAGAATAACACGACCCTCCTCCTGTTGGTGCGAGCGAGCGGTCAGTCACGTGTGTGTAGGATGGACGAATTTAAGGAGCTGCCCCTGGAATTTACGCGATCGACAACTGGCCGTGTTTTTGTCTTATTGCAGCTCGTCTCTGTTCTGGACTTGCACAAACTGCGTTGCAATACAATCATTTGCCAAAATGTAATTTATGTGAAAATATGAAAAATGTAAACGCCCGTTAACACAGGCCAGAGATGCTGAAGACGGACGCAAAGAGAAAATTACTATAGCAGGCAGATTACTCACTGTTCATGATGCACAAACTATTGGAAGAAAGTCCTCAATATTGATTTGGGGGTTTATATGAATGTGTTTCTGAGGGGAACTGACTGTTTACGTGTTTTTTTTTTTTCATCTCGTCTCTGTATAATTCATATTAAAGCAGTGTTTCAGCGCAGCTCTGCTTTGTTTACAGCGGTAACCGAGGAAACACTGTATCTGGTGTTCCAGAAGCGCCGAGAGAGTGAATATGTCTCATTCAGAGCTTCTGCTGTTTGCTTCGTTCAGGCATGTAGTATAATTTCACAAAGCTAGTCAGAACATTCTGTTTTGCTACAAATTGGGTTATTATTAAATCAAATTATGTATATGAAATTATATAACTA